CAGGTCAGGCAAAGCAACTACTACAGCCCAAACTCCTTCTCTTTCACCAGGACATTCCCATAACTGAGGTTTTAAGGTAAGAACAACCCAGAGACTCCCTAGAGACTGAACTGTTCAAGACTGCCACCTTCCTTCTGGTAAATTCTTTGATGAGGGGTACCAGATACTGAAAGATTTAGTTGGTGCAGGAGAATTTTTTAAAAAATGAAGAAAGGAGTCAGGGCTGTGATGAAAAGCAGGCAGAATGAAGAGCTGCTCTCTAGCTGCTCTAGAGAGGCACCATTACTTCACCTTTAACCACAAATATCTGTGCCTGAACTGGATTTTTCTACTGGCTCCTCAGCTGGTAATTTCATGGAGAATTCCAAGTGCTCTCTGTTATTACATTTACATCCCTCAAGGACTGGTACTCTATTTCTGTCATTTGCAAAAAAGTAAACCAAAAGTTGTTGTTGCTAATGTCTAGTAACCTCTAGCACTACTCAGCCCATTGGGATTCTCTGTCCTCGTGTGACTTCCATATCTAACACTGCCTCTGACCTTTACCCATGGAATTATTTCGACATGTCGTGTTCAGAATGCACAAAAGCCTCTAAAACTGAGCCCAACACATCAGCTGTTTCCTCCACTCCCCTCGCAGCTGGTCAGGCCCAAGGTCCTGCACTGATCTTTCGGGCCTCAGGAGGATCAGGAATTAGGCAAACAGCTAAGGCTCTTTTACATATAGCACTACTCGTGACTGAGCCAAATCTCCCTCATGACTCAACTGAGTAATGATGCTGGAACTGGGAGGCTGAACTATATAAGTCTAAACTTCCTACCTTAAAACATGCAGACAGTATTGTCAGTTCTGGCATCATTTGCAAAACACATTTCTATCAACATTAGAGGCCACAATGCCAACTACAATATCTGTCGTCAATAACAGAGATTAGTGAAAAACAAACAGGATCATTTCCCCATTTAGCAATGTGCACAACATATTGGTTTTTGTGTATTTCAGGCAGTTCACCCTGTTTCAGGGTGATTTTACAAAGTGATTTCTCAATTCAAGCACACTGTTGCTCAGTAAAGAACATGTATTTTTAATACTGTTAGATAAAGACAGTCCTCAAAGACAAGTGCTCTTAGTTGCATAAATTTCCTTTAGAACTCAAAAAACTCCAGCAAGACTGTTTTTCAGTTTATTAATTAGAAGCAAAATCTAGATTACATTTTAATGTAAGGTTTTGGGCACATACCTATTCACCCATGAGGATCTGCTCTTACACCAGATAGCAAAAAAAGTTATCTGTTACTGCTAACAGGACTTCCAATGTGGTTCAGTTTCTGCTGAGGTGCCAGTGTTGTGAGACCTACTTGTAACAACTAACAACCTGGTTTCCAGTAAATCAATTGCAAAACAGTTCTTGCATCCAGAAACATCAGCAACTTACTTGGCTGCCTATAACTATTATTTACATCTGTCCAGAAGTCACACACACTGAAATATATGGGTAGAAAAATATTAAAACATAAGAAAGAACTGCTTTCTTTACTCCTGAATGTTGATGTCCCATGATTGATTTTATTCCAAAAATGAGTGAGTGGCAGAGAAGCTTGAAGGAAACACTTGGCTGATGAGGAGTTTTCTGCCCTGCACAGCTGCCTACCTTCTTCCAAATATGTCTCTCTATGGCCTCTATGCCAATCCATTTATCCTTCCAAACCTTTGCAAACAGCTGTCCCAATTCAAAATAAACCAACCAAACAAAAACCAACCAACCAAACAAACAAAAAACCACCAAATACTTTCTTCCTTGCCATGCACCAGAACACCAAGTATCTTGACAGTGGTATTCAGAAATAACTTACTTCAAAGGGCCAATAACAAATGCTGCTCTCTTTACTCCTGTAAGAGAGAGTGGTTAGGGGAAGAAGTGAAAAATGCCTGTATCAATCCTGCTGTTACAGCAGAATTATGAAATGTTGCTTTAGACACTTCTTAGCAGGCACCAAATGAAACAATAACTATAGTTAAATCTATTACTCAATGCCACAATTAATATTACGTGGGTTTCCAAATTTCAGTGAAGCCGAGTTCTGATGTACCTGTATGCATACGTATGCACATATTTTTTAGTTTCTGATGTCAAACTGTGTTACACTACAGATTTCTGCAAAAATGTTACCATTCCCTATTTTGAGACAGGTGAGGGGCAAATTATTCTCATTTTTTGTTAAGCACTTTCACAACAATTCATCAATATTATTAAAGCTTCAGTTCCTCTGTTTTGATTCTGGGGCAGCACAGGGCATTAAAGAGGGCACAGGAACAGGGCTCTGAAAACCCAGATCAGTATCCTTCACTGGAATTTTTGTGACTCAGATAAGGCTCTCTTCCTATCTCTGCTCCTCCCAATCGAAGACTAGTATCAGTTCCCTTCTGTAGTACGTTTTGAAACCTACTTAGAGAAACTGCCTTAGAAGCATTGTGTCCTCTCTAAACAATGTGATTATACTTGAACGTTTGTTGAAGCCTCACACTGAGCCAGGACACTGACTCAGTCCCAAGCTTGTAAAAAAATTTGTAGCTGACTGGGATAAAACTCTACATGCACACGTAAAAACCTTATCATTAATATGCTGAAAGCCAGTGACAGCCCTATTGTCTTTTATTCACAGTGATTATTAATGCACCGAGCAAACACATTATCCCCAACAAGAAATTATCACACCTAATCATCAGAGTCCTCACGAATCTACTTCAAAATAAGCAAATGACAATTAACTGTATTTGAACCACGTGAAGTTTGTGGGGCAGAAAAAAGGATAACAGTACATTTCAGAGATTTTAAAGTTAGAAAGGTATTTCTGTCTGTTATTAAACCTACAAAGCAGAGTAATAAACATCATGCTGGAAATACATTCAGAAGTGGGTGAAAGTTCAAGTCACATCGAGAGAAATGTTAAACCACCTGACCTTGCAATAGCTGTTAGAAAGAGGAAGCTGAGCTCTGTGAAAGGACATTCACTTTATTTTATAGATACACACACAAAAGCTGTCTAACAAAGTAAACACCCAAGCTTAACTTTTATACTCCTACCTCCGGTTCACAGAGTTCCTTCTTAATGGCAGCCACTTATTCCCGACTGTGCTATTTCAGTGTTAGAAAGACTTCTGAACACTTGGAAAGCACCTTCTCTCTCTTTCCAGAAATGAATGCCCCAAGGTTCACCTGATGTGTGATTCGGGTACCTGTAACAACTCACTTCTTTATGTTTCTGTGTAAAACTCACTTATCCCTTTGATATGTAAGCAACAGTACAGGAACTGTTACTTGTTTAGTAATTTTTCTCACTACAGAAGTTTTTATTTCTAAGGACAGAGACTTAAACAAATAAGAAATTGCCACTTCTCCCTAACAAAGACTTCCTCACCCCAGAGAGTGGGACAAACGTGCACACCCCAGCCCTGCCTGCCAGCCAGCTTGCTCCAGCTGCCACCCACCAGGCTTTGTCCTGCCAGCTCCTCTTAAATTATGACCTCTACAATACCCCAAAAGAGATACTCTTCAGCTCCCAAGCTAGAGACACCAGAATGCATCTATGCCCAACATTCCACTTAAACAAACTGAACGTGTACCTGAGGCAGCAGCAATATACATATATATAGTCACAGTCATATGATTTTCTAAAGATAGGTCTCCTTCAGCCAGAGGTTCTGGCCTTGATTCAGGTGTTCCTGAATGAACTGTGACACTGTGTTTTGCAGGCAGGGTTCTGGGAAGGCACCATGGCCCTTCTGTCTGTACTTATCAATGAACTGGGCAAGCTGAGTGCTTGCAGTTCAGTTACTTGAGTTAAAAACATGGAGCAAGTGAATGTCAAGCCATAGATTTTACTGAAGAATTAAGCTATTGTAGGCCATTTCTGCATAATTTTCCTATTAGACGTACGTGAGGGTATACAAGTGCACAGGCTTTATCCTGTACAGAAAATAGGTTTTATCCTTTCATCCTAGAGATAAACTGTGGTTCAGAGATGCAGCTGGCCCAGGAGAAGATGTCCCAGTGAATCAGATGAGAGATCTATTTAGTCCCAGACTCTGTCTCCAACAGCAGCACCCAAAGAAGCTGTTCAGGCAGAATTTACAAGTTTGGACACTGCATGGTCCACTCTCCCCATGCTTCCTACCATCCACAGTTAGTGTATTAAGAATGTAGCAGGTACATTCCCACCTAATCCATTTATGAGTCCTCTGTCCATTAACTCATTTAATCCCTTTCTGAAGGGGATCCTCATCTGCTCGAAATACAAGCTTTTGCACATTTCAGAACCAGCTTAGTAAACTGAGATACTGCTAGGGAATTAAAAACAAAACAACTTTCAGCTTTCACATACACAGTGCCTTACATCAGTCCTGACCATGACTGATGAGTCCTTGTAAAAGATCAGATCACGCTAGGAAAAAGCAAAGTTCAAATTTTGTCATCTCTGAGATGTTTCATGTCAGCATAAAAACACTGGCACAAAATAAGGAAGAAATAGTGAAGTGACGACTGCCTCGTGCCAAAAAAAAAAACAAAAAAAAAATCCAAAAAAAAAATAAAATCAAGCATTCAGAGAGTTTTGTTTAGTAACAAGGCACCAAATCAAGGCAGATTAATATTTGAAAGAGCTTTATATGTGATCTTTTCCTAAGGCACGTGTAATGCATCAGATTAAATCCCACCAATTCTTTTTTTTTTTCTGACCACGAGCCGGCAAGTTGGGCACCAGACCGAGCCCTGGCGAGCCTGTTCCGGGAGCCCCGGGGGCAGCGCTGGCACCGTCAGTGCTCGGACGGACGGGGCGACACCCGGGGCTGATCAGCCCGGTCTCGGCGCGGCAGCCAGGGCGGCACAGCGGGACCCGACCCCGCTTCTCCTCCTGGATGCAGGCAACGCCCGCTGCAGCGGGACCGACCCCAGCGATGTCAGCGATGCGGGGGACTCGGCTCCAGCCACGCACGGGGCACGGCCGGGAGGGCTGTGCGGGTGCGGGTGCGGGGCCGGTCCCGGTGCGCGGATGCCCCGGGCGGGCACCGCCACCGCGGCCGCGCTTCCCCCGTGATGGGGGGTGCCCGCCCGCCCCTCCAGAGCCGCGGGTGCCGGGACCGCCTTACCATCTGCTGCGCCGCCCGGAAGGTGGCATCCAGCATCATCAGCTTCCAGGGGTCGGCCACGGCGCCGGGCAGCGGCAGGTACACGTAGTAAGCGGCGAGCGCGGCCAGCGCCGGCAGCAGCACCCAGGCGGCCCGCATCGCCCCCGCCGCGCCGTGTGCGGCCGCCTCGCCGCGGCTCCCGCGGGGCGCGCACCGCCCCCGGCCCGGCCTCCCCCGGCCCGGCCTCCCCCGGAGGAAGTGCCGGCGCTTCCTCCCGGCCCGCGGGCCGAGTGCCCGGCCCGGGCCGAGCCCCGCCGCCCTCCCAGCGCCGCCCCGCCCGGGCCCGCCCGCGCCGCCGCCCCGCAGGGTCCGCTGCGCTGCCCGGGGCGGCCCCGCTGCGGGCAGGGATCCCCCGCGGGAAGGGGATGTGCAGATACAGGAGGCGTGGGCTCGTGGGGCTACCCTTCTGGCACCCCGCACCCGCTCCTGACACCTCGCACACGCTCCAGCACCTCAATATCCTTCCTGAATTGAGCGCCCCAGAACTGGACACAGCAGCTCCCCTCATTTTCAGGAAGGATATTGAGGTGCTGGAGCGTGTCCAAAGAAGGGCAACGAGGCTGGTCAAGGGATTGAACACAAGTCCTGTGAGGAGAGGCTGAGGTAGTGGGGTTGTTCAGCCTGGAGAAGATGAGGCTCAGGGGAGACCTTATTGGTCTCTACAAATTCCTGAAAGGAGGCTGTAGTGAGGTGGGAGTTGGTCTCTTCTCCCAGGCAACCAGCGACAGGACAAGAGGACACAGTCTTAAGCTGTGCCAGAGGAGGTTTAGGTTAGACATTAGGATGAAGGTCTTTATAGAGAGAGTGATCAGACATTGGAATGGGCTGTCCAGGAGGTGGTGGATTCACCGTCCCTGGAGGTATTTAAGAGGAGACTGGACGTGGCGCTTAGTGCCACGGTCTAGAAGACAAGGTCATGTTAGTTGGCCTTGATGATCTCAGAGGTCTTTTCCAACCTAGCTGATTCTGTGATTCTGTACCCACACTCAAACCCACAGCCCACCTTGGGCTGGCAAAAGCACACAAGTGGCTTTGGGAAGACTGACCTGGCAGCAGCTGAACCCACAAGCAAACCTCTCCAGTTTCATGGAAGCACAGAATGGTTTGGGTTGGAATGGACCTTAAAGGTCTTCTAGTTCCAACCTCCCTGCCACGGGCAGGGACACCTTCCACTAGTCCAGTTTGATCAGAGCCTCGTCCAAGCTGGCGTTGATTTTCCATTTTTAGGTGTTGTAGCACTGGAAGATGAGCACAGTGGCAGCTCTTTACCAGTAAAGAGCGGTAGTATCAGCGTTCAGGCAGGCTGGCCCTTCTTCATTGAGCCCTGAGGCTGGGGAGATTCGAGAGGAAGGCAATGGGAATCAATTCAAGTCAATCTGTGAGGATCCCAGATCCAGCATGTTTCCAGGAGGAACTCAGGGACTCCCTTATTTTAGCAGAAAAAAACATACTACTTCTTATATAACACATCACAAAACAATTCCAGAAAGATTATTTTTTAAGGCATGTTTATTTTGTAATTTTGTCTTAGGCTGTCTTAGACTGGGAATTTGTTGGGCTTCCCAAACACTATATGGTTCAGGCTTCACACAAATCTCTACTTATTCACAGTTCTACCTTCAGAAAATTAAAATATTTATTTAAATAGTCAGATTCATGTGCATTATGAATTTAATGCAGAAAAAGGAATGAGCACTAATTTTAACAATGACATTGCTTTTAAAAAATGAATTCATAGTACTAAAAAGTCACATAGAAATTATTTAGAGTCCTGGAAAGCACAAGTTTCCTTTAAAAATTGACATGGAAAGGTAATAAAAGAAAAATATGTTTCTAAGAAGTAAAAGGTCAGCTTTTTGTCTAGCTTTCCTGGAACTGAAGTACCACCTCACTGATTCTAAAGGTTGCAGAAGAAAGTTTCTGGAATTTGTGAGGAAATCAGACACTCAAGCATCTTTAACCTTTTTTCGTAACAACAGCAGATGGAGTTTCTGTGATTTTCATGGTCCACTTGGGTAGACTACAGGTGTGAAGAAACAAACTATGCCAAGAAAGCAGCACAAGGTGAGATTCCTGAGGTCTCCAGCTTTTTATACCGAGTTGTCCCTTTCTGTATTATTTTGTGCCCACACCTTCTCTTTTACCTTGTGCCCTGCTCCCCTGCCTCCCTTGCTTTGCATACTCCCATTCCCTTGCTTTCCCAAGCTCCTGCCCCTAAAGCCCACACCCAGCATCCTGGAGTGTCATAACTGATGCCTGTCTCATTGTCCCCAAACCTTTGGCAAAACTGGCTCTAGTCCCAGTCCTCTCTCATCTAGTCATTTCCTCAAAAGAGAGAGAAGGCTGGATGGGATTTTTCTGAGGTTTCTCATGCTCCCACTGACCCCTCACATGCATCTTGTGCTTGATCTCTCCTCTTCCTCACATTTTGAAAGCTGCTGCTCTGGCTGAACTGAATCGATAGCTCTTTGAGGAATCTGTTGTCTTCCAGGTGCTTATAAAGAAGTCAGTTGGTAAAAAAAAACCCAAACACTGTGGTTTAGGAAAGGTTACTTTCTTTAAAAAAATATAAAATAGATAAATTAAACATGAGAGTGCTTGCAAGTTATCTAGGGACCATCAGGGGTTCCATCAGCTCTTCTGATGTGGCCTCCTTGACTTCTTCCACAGGTCCTACTGCTGCGATGTAGCTGTTGTGACAGGATTCATTTATCGACTTAATCTCCTGAAACCCAATCCCTGTGGGTGTCACGGTGAGAGGAAACTGTTTAACTACTAGATAAAAGTTATACTCCTAGGTTACTGAAGCCTAGCTCTATCTGGAAGGAAGAGCAAGTTTCAGCTGCATGTTAGAGTTTACAAAACACAAAATAATGGATGTTTCCATTTCAGAGCCTTTTATAAGAAAAGCACTTAGATTTTCAAATGTCAGATGTACAAAGAATAGTAATTGTCATCAGTCCTGATCTGAACTTTTGGGAGAATAAATGTACTGGATTAAAAAAACCCAAACAACAACAGAAAAACCCAACCAAATAAAAACCCCCACAAACAACTCAGTTACTTTTCTTAAGTGATTACTGCCTAAAGGTTCTGTCAGTCCCAGGAAGGACAGTTTAAGGCAGTTCACCAGAATATCTGAGTTGGTTTTTGAGATAATTCTGGATTTTCAAGTAAATTAAAAAAAAAAAATGGCTTATGCAAGTCCCTCCTTATATGCACAGGGAGCCTCTATTTATATTTTGATATTTATATAGTTTATATTATTGATATCCAAACATTCAGTATTGGATATCACCTAAATTCTTTTATAAACCTTTAACCGAGAAGTGAGGCATGTATCATCTGACAATTCCCAGCCCTGATAAATACATTTCTCCTGCCTTTGCACACACAAAACTTTAAATAGAATTTTTTTTTCCAAGATCTAGAAGTAAAGTGGAAATCAATGTGCAATCACCAGTATCTTTTCCAGAAACTGTATTGCAAAAGTAACACGGACTCCTCTATTGCAGAACTTGTTCTAAAATGTAGAAGAAATATGGTTCCAGGTTTCAGGTGTGGGCAAAACTGAACACCTGGCTGAAAAGAACTTTGTAAGACTGCGGAGAAAGAAGAGAACAGGGGAAAAGCCAATGAAGGCTGGCCTGGCTTGGAACTGCAAAGTGATGGCCCAAATAAGTACTTAGATGTGGCAATAGGACGTCAGGCTGTGTTTTGACTGTAAGTCATTGTTGCAATTACTCAGTCTGAAATAAGTGTAGGACCGTGTAATAGTTTGAGTTGTGTCAGCATTGGAATGAGCTCCTCGATTTCCAGGCTGTTATTTCGAAACCTTTTCCTCAGGAAAATAGTTCTAATTTACATGTACACCAGCAGCAAATCTTTATTCACATAAACAACACCTGTAATCGTCTCCTTCTGCTTTTTCCTATTCCATTTTTCTTCCAAATAATAAAAAGTCAATGGAGTTTTACAGCTGCTGGATCAGCCATGGAAATGCCTGAACTGATAAAACTGTGTAGTATAAAATAATCAAATAATTAAAAAAAGAGGGTAGGATTTAAGAACTCAATTTGACATACAATCAAAAATTCTAGAAAGAGAAAATATATCTCTTGTTGTTTTTATATTGAGGCAGTGACATGACTGAGCCCCTACGACAAAATTCCCTTCTGGACCAGTAACCTTTAATATAAGGAACAAGTGAAAATAAAAGGGCAGTTAAAGCATTTGGTACGTTTAATTTATTTTGTGGTTGGTGCCATGGAGACAGCGGTTGATTTTCACCTTGACCAGTCTTATTTCGCCCCCCCCCGCCCCGCCTTTCCCCCAGCAGCACCTGTTTCCTACGAACTGGTTACTTCGAAACTCAGATGCACACCCAAAACCCTTTTTTAATTTTAATTTATTTCTTAACGGTGACCACGGTGATTTCTCGCCTGGTGTCCCGGCTGGGGCTGAGGGGGCTGAGGGGGCTGAGGGGGCTGAGGGGGCTGAGGGGGGGGGGCGCCCCGCGCTCCATCCGGGTCTCTCGGCGCGGCCGTTGGGAGCGTTCAAACCCCCCCGCCAGCCAATCAGCGCCCGCCGTGTCCCTCGCCCCGCCCACTCAGCGACCTGCGCTCGGTACCTCAACAAGCGCTGCGCGTCTGCCCGGCAACCACCCACCGCCAATGGGAGAGCGCCCAGCGTGAGCGGCAGGCGTAACGCCCAATCAGAGAGGGGGGCTGTCCCGAAAGGGGAGGGGAGGAGGCGGGACATGTGGCGGAGGTGGCGAATGAGACGGCGGCTTACGGAGGGGCGGTGGGGCCGGCAGCCAATGGGCGTTGCCGGGCGTGCGGCGGCTCGCTTTTTGAATTGGCGGCGGCCGCTCATGGCGGATGGCGGCGGGCGGCGCCGGCGGTGAGGGGGGACTGGGGGCGGCTCAAACCGAGCCCGGTGCGGGGCAGCGGTGGGTGCGGGTGGCCTGGGCGACCTGTGAGGCCTCGGGGCTCCTCAGGCTGTTCCCTTTAGGCAGAGCGGAGCCCCGGGCCCGCCGGCACCTGCTGGGAGAGCGGCTCGGGCACCTCCTGGGCGGCTCCTCGGGAGGGCAGCGGCGGCGTGGGAGGTGTTTAATGTCCTGCTTTTTGCGTTAACAAGCGAGTTTTGGTGAGCGGGTGCTGTGTGCCCTTCGGTGGTTTCTGTTCGATGGTGTGAGGGCATTAGGTGTGCTCTTAGGTTTCCTTTCGTCCTGTGGTGATGGTGGTCCGCCTTTCGCCCTTCATGTGAGGGAAAGCTGCTGTATTCGTGTCTCTGTGTGCTGTTTGTTCTCCTCTGTGTCCTGGCACCTGCAGTCCTTAAGTTTAGTGACCAGTGTAATGTTATTAGTTATTATGCGACCATCAAAACAAGGAGTGTTTTTTCAAATGCACCCAGAGGGAACGCCGTAAATAAATTGGAAAAGCCATAAAGGAAATCACTGCACAGGCCAAAATACGGGCTTATCCCAAAGAAACAATGAAGTTCTCTGTAAGTTTGTATACACCTTATTTGATATGACAATAACAGCATGACAGGAACCATACTGATCTGTCAGACTTTTAAGAAATAGTCTGTAGGATTTAAGTTTAATTGTAGCCTTAACTAGAGGATTTGTTTTTGTCTGAGTTTGCCTATAATTCTTCTGTTGGTAATCATTATTAACAATATGGTTTGAATCTTCCAAGATTATATTTCCCCCGCCCTCACTGCCAAAAATGCACTTGTATAACAGTTCCTGGTGGTAACATTATAACCTGGGCAGGTGATCCTAAAACACTTTTTGTAAAGTTAAGGTTACTTTCTGCTCTTGCTCTGTCTTAAGCTGTTCTGAGGTAAACAAGGTGGGTGACTGGGACTTAATGAAGGAAACTTAATTCCGTGGAGCCTGCACAGCTGTGTGTGACCTGGAAATTGAAGCTAAGATGGCAAGTTTGGTAACTGACTTTGTCTAGAATTATGATAGATTGGTAGTGTTGACTTACTACTCATCATTGTATTAGGAACTTACTGATGTGTTATGAAGACATGAACCCTTTCCAAGAGTCCTAAATGTGATCTCCTACACTCTAGAAGATAAACTCTTTGCTGTATTGCCATTATGCCAAAATGCCCATTGTGATTTTTTTTTGGGCCTTCTGACTTACTTTGCTGTGTAATGGAATGGTCATTACACAACTTGAAAAATAGCATGTGCTGTTCTCCAGGGGTTTTCCTACCTGGAGAGTCCTCTTTCAGCCAGTGCTTTAATGTAGCATTTGGGTGGTTGCTGTGTTGCAACTTCAATTAAAGTGCTACAAAGGGTTATTGTGCGACAGCAGTTCAGCTGCAGTTGCTGGTTTGGGTAACTTGTGATATCACTGTGCAAATACTGGAATCTAGGTGTGTGATGAATCACAGGAAATGCAGCCTGTTGGCTTCACGTGCCACAGAAAATGTGCTGTGCGTTGGGCAGGGCTCTCAGAACAAACCCTCTGGTGCAAGATTCAGGTGGGTACCTGCACAAGGTGTGAGAGGATTGGGAATTCTGCCTTTTTGATGGGCAGGGAGAGCACAGATACTTTGTGTCTGTGAGAAGCTTCTTTATCTGACAATGGATACTTCTACTGTATTACAGTTAATGTAGAACAATAGACTAGACCATACAGATAGACATATATATGCTTATTAGCTTTGTAGAGACTCTTATGCATTTTTAATTTTTCTGTGAGTAAATAGTGCTGTTTTGCTCTCTGGGTGCTCATTTTTGCCTGCAGTATCTCTGACCAGTTCACCTGAAAAATTAAATTTTATCAAGTTCCTTTGCCTACCCTAATTCTTCTGCTAATGTTTCATTTCAGCAACGTTAATCTTGGTCTCAGCTCTAGCTTACAATAGTTTGTCACTGAAGGGAACAAATGCTTTTGTTTTGCTAATGCTTTGTGGTTAAGCTTTTTTAAATGAGCACCAGTTAGTTAGTGCTTCCCTGCTGCTCAGATCTGCAGCTCTCTGTGCAAATGAATTACAGAACCACTTCTGGTTTGTTGTCGGTCCTTTATCAACCGTGTGGCTCCTGATGCTCTTTCAGAACTTCCCTGTCAGTGTGAGTGGGAGTTCAGTAAGTGTCTGAATGTTTTCTTTTCTGAGGTCACTTCCAGCTGCCCGAGTAACAGGACTCTTACTAATGAGCTTTCTGCAGCTGTAACTCAGTTTAACCCCTCTGCCTTCCAGCTGTTGAAGAGAGAAGCGAGGCATAATCATGGCTGACAGCAGCACGCTGGTGTCCGAGACCGGGAGGAGCCTCTTGGCTGATTCTTCTGTTCTTGATTCAAAAATTATAGAAACCTCCAAAGACAATGCGTTTCCTGGGTCTGTTTTGGATGTTGAAGGTAATGGGGGAAGCTTATTTTAATGATTATTGTGATGATTGATTACTTTGTAGGCGTTTTGTAGTTTGGAAAAACCAAAAGGGATTTGCTGAGCTCCAGAATTGTAGAGGACACAGAAGGGTGTTGATCTGGTATCCTTTCATCAACAAAGGGACTGTCACATTTTTTTAACTCATCTTTTTATAAAACTTTGGGGTTACAGCCCAAACTGAACAAGTCTTCTGGCTGTTGTGCAGAAAGCTGTCAGTTCCATTTGATGCCTCTTCTGTGGAATAAATCATTTCAGGTGACATTCTGACACCAGTGTTTGAAAACTAGAGCTGCTCTGTTGTGTACATGTAGACAGATTAATAGGTATTATGAGGTAGACAGATTAACAATCCCGAGCCTAAAATTAATTCAAAAGCAATTATTGAAATTAATAAACCGACAACAACAGACATTCTTGTTTTCCTGCAGTGTAGTAGCCAAAATTTAGTGGTGCTCCTTTGGTGCAAATGACATGGAGGCAACACTTGTCCCTAATATTTTGAAGGCTTATTAATACATGGAGACAAAGAACAAGAAATCTGATTTCGGTTCTGGTGTTTCTAGTAACTGCTCAGTTTCACCAAGGAAGAAATGAAACTTGTCAACCAGGAACACAGAAGAGATACCAGCTATCTGTTTTCCAGCAGGTGTTGGTATCTAATTCTGCTGGAAGCATTAACTCAATAATTTTTTTGGGTTTGACTGTAAGGTAACTGGATGTTGATTACAGGATGTTATTTTACCTCATACTAGAAAGTTTAGGCTCTAAACCAATGGTGTGCCTTAATTAAAGGACAGACTTCTTGAGGTAACACTTATTTTCAGGCTTGTTCCTGATAAAGAAGGTATCTTAACAGGATGCTGGCTGCCTGTATTCTTCTATACGTTATTGCTTGATTTGGAATTAACATGGATTTTTCTGTTAAACACAAATATTATCCTTGTTTCTCTATAAACAGAAGAAATGCCTCAAATAGAAACAAGAGTGGTTTTGGTTCAGGAAGCAGGGAAACGTGAGGAGCTTCTGAAAGCCTTGGAGGTATGTGGGTCTGAGATAAAACAGTTGGTGGAATGACATGTTATGCCTTTAGACTTCTGGTAACCAGTTTGCTTCTGTACTAAAGTTCTCCTCTTCCACAGAGCATTAAGATAATGGAAGTACCTGTTATAAAGATAAAGAAAACTAGTCCTGATAAATCAGAAGAAAAATTAATAAAAAGTATTATCCATATGGTATGTCATGCAATTAAGCACATGTAATTGCATGCAGCATGTTCACTGGGACTGAAATGTGCACACACTTTAATTTGGATTAATTGAGCACAATGGTGACAATATATGCTAATGTTTCTCACGGTGTCACAGCACTTTTTTTTTACAAACACTTTCTTAAATATGGAGATAATACCTGCACCTCTTACCTAGTGGTGTTTTTTAACAGGGGAGTAGAACTATCCATGGAGACCTCCAACTGCATGCTCGTATTCAGCCAGCACATAAGTTTTTGCTATGAACTGACTTTGTAATGTCAATTGACTTCTTTTTCAATTGAAAGCTGCATTTAAACTGAAGTATGAGAAATGCTTCTCCATCTCTTGATGTGAAAAACATTTTAAAAAATTTAACTAAGGACTGAAATTGGAATGGACTGAATTTTTAGACCCCTTAAAATACCAAGTAGTGAACAAAATCTATTTCTATTCTTCAGATGTTCTGCAGTGCTGAGGTTGCTGTTGTAAATTGGATGCTGACAGTCTGAAATGTCATTTATCCTTTGAGCTTAGGGATTTTTTTTCTATCTGGCTATTTCCAATCCTATATTATCAATGTGAACTGATACACAAACTACTAAAGCAACAGGAATTGCTTTAAGACATTCAGTCTTAAAGCATTCAGCAGTTCATAGCTATTCTTATGCTGGAGATATTCTTATGCATAGATATTCTTATACATTCAGCTTTCACAAATCCTGAGTCTGCCTCTGAAATCTGAATCATACATTTTTCTAATGATCCGAAGTAAAAATCAGTTGAATTTTGACACTAATGCAAGTGCATTGCCTGAATAATGCCTTCCCTTTCATCCCTGTCCATTAAGGAAATTAAAGTGCCCTACATAAAGATAGACACAATAGAAGAGCTTGGAGATTCTGATTCTCCAGAGTTTGAGACTGTCTTCGTTGTATCAGACTTCCAAGATTCCATCTTTCCCAACCTCTGCAAAGCCGACTGCCGTGTCATCGGACCGCCAGTCGTACTGCACTGTGCACAGAAGGGAGAGGTATGTGCTGGCTGGTGAAATCAGCTGAGTTCTAAATATTAAGTGTTCACAATAAAATCTCTCTTTTCCAATCAATCATAAACATTCCTAGCAAGAGAATTTCAAGAACAAACAAGTTTCTAGTACTGTGTTAGAATATTGCATGTAATGAGTAAGTGCTGGCAGACAGCAGTAAGGCTGCAACTACTGCAGCAGTTGTGGGAGTTGTTGACTACCAGTTGCTATTAGGAAAGGCAGCATACAGGTGATTCTCCAGCAGACACTTTATATTATATATATTTCCAAAAGCTGTCACGTAGAACAGATGGACTGGGGAGGAAATAAAAGGGTGGAATGCTACTTGTGGAACTTGGGGATGCTCTAGTTGCTTTATCAGAACACTGACAGGCCTGCAGCTGAGGTATAACTGAATACTTGAACTAGTGTCTGGTGCATTTCTAATGCTAGAAATAGCAGTACTGTATTAAAGGTGATGTGAAAACTTTATTGGGAGCAGTATCCTGTTGACTAATAAACTTACTTTTTATTTTAGCCTTTACCATTCTCCTGTCGTCCACTGTACTGTGCGAGTATGTTGAACTTGGTACTGTGCTTTACAGGATTCAGAAAGAAAGAAGAATTAGTAAGACTTTTTTTTTTTTTTTTTTGATTGGTAAAGCTATATATCAAGTTTCTTTTCAAGATACTCTCCTGTTCTATCACCCATAGGGTTTAACCCTGACTTGAGATGGTAGGGAGGAGAAATATGGCTCCATGTCTTTGTCTGGGGTAAAGAAAATCCCAAAACAGAAGCCTATGCTCAGTGTTAGGGTTAGCTAAATTTGATCAAGAATTGACTAAATCAATGAGAAAAACATGCTTCAAATCTATTATGTGTGAAAAGGTGAAGGCATTGTGTGGGATGATCCTGAGAGTACTGGTGACTTGGACAGTCTTCATACACTACAAATACAAACTACAAAGCAAGGCTGTATTAAATGTTGAAATAAAAAGAAATGTTTATAGCTCTTTTGACATATCAGCTATATCTTCTCCTGCAGATGTGAACAAGTTGTTTTAAGAACAGATCAGAGTATTTGTATTCCTAGACATTTAATGTAACCTTCTGTAGCTTGCTTTGTAAACTGCTCTTTATACTGCTCTCACTCTTCAAAATGTACTGAAAATTTTTCATCTTTTTCAGGTTAAGCTGGTGACCTTGGTTCATCACATGGGTGGAATTATCCGAAGGGACTTCAGCTCAAAAGTTACTCACCTGGTGGCGAACTCAACACACGGAGACAAATTCAGAGTATGTAAGCTTGAGTTCATGGGAACTTTTGGAATTTGGCTATCGTAGACTAAGTTCATTAATTATACTTCAGCTCAAAAGCTGCTGTTTTTTCCTGTACTAACAGCAATAACTTGTAATGGTGAGTTGATCTCCATCTGGTGTTGAGCTCTGGCATATTTTTCTCTCTGTTGGAGATCTAAATAACATAAATTGCCTGAATGCACAGGTTTGGAAATAGACAAGTATAGTAAATTACAAGATTCAAAATGCTTAAGTATTGATGTTACCAGTACTTTTAAGACATCGAGGAACAAGTGTTTATGTATCAACGTGCCTGTTTTTTTGTCTGTCCAAACAATAAATTTCGAGGTAACTTGCAATAAACTTAGTACTAAACTTCTTTTAAAAATGATTTTTGACATCACAGATAAGGAATCAAATCTTCTTTTATGTATAAATAGACACAAGTGTGCTTTTTCTGATATGAAAAGGGACTTCAGGACATGTATGTTTGGTTTAGAAGTAAATAAATTTTAATAGGTTTTTACAGTGTTTATGCCTCTTGCCTCTCCCTTGTTTGAAATGTTAGTAGGCTGTTGCTTTTTTCTAGTTTCTTTTTAAACTTCCAGTTGGAAGAGAAGTCCTACTTTCTGTTCAAACACTCTTTTCTACCAACCCAGAGGGGAAAAAAGTGTGAAAACTCTACAATCTCTCAAGCAGTCATGACAGTTACCTTTGGAAGAGTCACTTTCTCTTTGGTACAACAGGCTGGGATTTTTGTCTTCATACAAAGTATCAAAAGCAAAAAAGAGATCTCATATTCCACTGGAACAGAGATTTGATTTTGTGTTTTTGTGAGTGATGAAGGATATCAGACTAACAAAATGGTGCACTTCTGAGTAAGTGTCAAAAGAGCTATTGATCTGATCTCTTACTGAATTCATACATTCTAACTGAGGAGTTGCAGTTGGATATGACTCTTGAAGGAGTGTATTCACTTTTTGTACTATCTGTCTTGAAAAGTAAAAGGAAGGTTACAAATTTTTCTTGACATGGGAAAGATTTAAAAGGAAATATTTGGTTCAACTTGTGCTTTTCCTGTTTTGTAGATTGCTGTAAGCCTTGGTGTTCCTATCATGAAAACTGAGTGGATTTATAAGGCCTGGGAGAAAAGAAATGAAACGTAGGTGTTTCTTTTCCTTCAGCCTTCACCTTGCATCCTGTTCACCTGCAGTGTGTGAGCTTCTGCTTAAACAGTGACATAGCACTGATTTAGTGACTTTTTTTGTGCATCCTTTTTCTTTCAGTGATTTCTGTGCAGCTGATGATGACTTTAGAAATCAGTTCAAGGTTCCTCCCTTCCAGGATTGCATGCTAAGTTTCCTGGGATTCTCTGATGATGAGAAAGCTAACATGGAAGAAATGACAGAAATGCAAGGTTGTTGTTTATGAAAATTGACCTGTGTGAAGAATGGGGTGGAGTTCTTGATAATGATAGGTGCCACAGAACTATCAAGTGAGATACTAACTTCTAACTATAACATTTCTGCTCTTGCTAACTTACCTTTCTTTTTTTTTTATCTAGGAGGACATTATTTACCTGTTGGTGATGAAAGGTGTACGCACTTAGTGGTTGAAGAAAGTACAGTAAAAGATCTTCCATTTGAGCCTTTACAAAAACTTTATGTTGTAAAGCAAGAGGTTAGTGCTGGAAATTCTCAAAAGAATCCTGCTGTGTAGTACTTTGTGTGATAAATACAGACATGTGGCTTATTCTGAAAAAATCTCTCTCTTGTACTGACTGTGTTACTATTATATACTATTTTGAATATTTTAAACTTTGGGTGAAGCTCTGTAATGTGTTCTTAATGCGTGTTTTCTTTTTCCTTCAGTGGTTTTGGGGAAGCATTCAAATGGATGCCAGAGCTGGAGAATCCATGTATTTATTTGAGAAGGTGTGTTGAACTCTCTTCCACAATGCACAGCATGTGTTTGGTGGTAAAATTAGCATGCACAGTAGTATGTGTGGGGCCAGAGATCACATGTCTTAATGCACCATTTAAGTTCCAGATAATCCATTTTAAACTTTATACCCAGAATGCTAATTTGGGAAAAATTTCTTTCTGCTTCCCAAAGGTGGGAAGTCAAACAAGATCTCGCTGTGGTTTTGAGTATAGAAGAGGGAGGGGAAGGCTTTACCCATTTTCCATCAACTTCTCCTAAGGAGTTTCTTTTTGTGTTGTGTGCTGATCTCTGCAATTAACTTGTCTTTGCACTGCGTTGAACTGGACACAGTGAATAAAAGCACTAAACTGAGTTTTCTCTTACTGCAGTCAGAGAGTCCTGACTTCAAGAAGTCCGTGTCTCTGCTTTCCCTGAACACTCCAAACAGCAACCGCAAAAGGCGCCGTTTGAAGGAGACTCTTGCACAACTGACCAGGGAAACAGACGTGTCCCCCTTCCCTCCCCGCAAACGCCCCTCAGCTGAGCACTCGCTCTCCATTGGGTCCTTGCTGGATATTTCCAACACTCCGGAGTCGGGTGCTACCAATGGAGGTAGAGCTAAAAACTTCCGTTCAGACACAGAATGTTTAGGAGCTCTTGCATACAAGCAGAAATGGTAGTGCAAGGGAAGTCTTACGGGTTTTGCTACGGATTTGCTCAGTAATTCCGGGCTTTTGCCTTCTCGAAGTGTGCAGAAAGAATTGGAGTGAAGAGTTCAGACAGAGGCCTCTTGTCATCACAGCGAGCACATTCATATCTGAAGGAAAAGGTATAGACTTGATAAATAGGAAGTACAGTCCAATGTTATTCCAAAATGCTTCAAATGCTCTGCTGGAAGTCTGTGTAGCAAATAAGCAACATAGTCAACTGTAAATAATCTAAAATACTCTCTAGTAGGCTACTTGGAGCAAGGAGGGCAAAGATTCTTTTCTAAAGGAACTAAGGGGAAAATTCCTGCAGAGCCCATTCCTAGGTCTTTGAAATGTTCTGTTGAGGTAACACTATTTGTGCCAGCAAACTGTCATGTCTAAAACTTCCCAGGAATGTAAGTCATCAACTGATAATGGGGCAAAGTCATTGACCTGACCATAAATGGCTTATTAGTTTCAGTCTACTTTCGAAGAATAATCTATTACTGTTGTTGTATAATAAAGCTGTAATAATAAAAAAAAAAACCAAACAAACAAACAAAAACATTTTCTAGAAAGAGTCCTGATAACTATAGAATAATCCACAAAATAGCCTTTAAAAAACCCAAACTTATCTTCACTTAAAAGTTCTGAAGTGGTTTCTTATCTTTTGAGGCTGAGCTTTTTTTAGGGACTCTATTGTAATAAAGCTCTGTTTTTTTGTTGTTTTTTTTTTTGGAAATATCTCTTCATCAGAAACACCAAAATCCTGTGCAAGGCCTTCCAAAAACTCAACTCCTCTTCCACTAAAGCAGTCTGCAAGATGGCAGGTTGCAAAGGAATTGTATCAGACAGAAAGTAACTACGTTGATATTCTAACAACAATCATTCAGGTAAGTGTTTACATCAATTAGTGTTTTCAACCTGTGATCTCTAGGTTTTTGGAAGAGGGGGCTTGGATGCATCAAAGATTCATAGAAAAATGGCAGTGTAAACAGTCTCATGTAATTTTTCAGACAAAAAAATGTTTAGTGTCTGTTAATAATAAGAGCTGGAAAATACAATTTCTAATCTGGCATCTGCAGTGGAATTGCAATTTGTATGGAAATTGCAAGCATTGGGAAAACAGTATCTTCACTGCACAGATATTTTAGATATTAGTGAGTAGAGAGAGATGGCAGGGGAGAAAATTTTTTTTTTAAAATTATTTCAAGAAGAGTAGAATAGCAAACAGCTTACAGGAAGAGCTTAATTTCTTGAAAGTTTATTTCCATTGCAGCTGATTATCTGCTTAAAGAATGAGCCAAGATGTATGTGAATAGAAAAGGAGATGAAAGGGGCTTATGCTATAGCAATGTATCTTAAAACCACTCCTCCATAACCCACTCTGGCTAAGTGGGGGCATCTCAAGCTTGTGACTGCAGGAAGTTTTGATGTGGAAGGAAAACACTGTTGCTTTTATAACTTTCTAACACAGTGTTTGGCAATTGGGAGGGCATTAATATTTTTTCTTTTAATTCATCAGTTATTTCAAGTTCCGTTGGAGAAGGAAGGACAACTTGGAGGACCAATCCTTGCACAGGAAGAGATTAAGACCATATTTGGCAGCATTCCAGATATTCTTGATGTGCACACTAAAATCAAGGCAAGCTGCAACTTTTCCCCTGTGGGAGAAGCTTTCACAGAGACTTTTAATCTTTTCTGCACATTTCCAGTTGCATCTGCTGGACAGGTGTAGATTCTACCTGGTGTTACATACTATTCAACCTATGGAGATTATGTGCAAATCCAAAGTATTCTTTAAGATTTAATGCTTAATTAAAGATATCTGAGGTCTGATATTATGTAACTAATACATTCACGAGCTGGCTTCTCCTCTCCCCGTTTCAATGCCTTTTTCTGTAGGAGGTTTTCTGTATCTGATGCAAAACTGGTCAAAAGGGCCAGTGGTATGAAATTGTAGTCTGACTTAAAAGTGCTCATACACCTTTCTATTAAAGCTGTAGGCAAGGACTCTCGGAAGGATAGCTAAATCTAGGGAATTAAAAAGGAAAAAAAAAAAAAACCCCAACAAAAGCAACAAAACAAAAATTTGACTTTAGGTATGATAGTATAAGAGACTTCTATTATTTGGTAGGAAATCCTAATCCCTCCTTAAATGGCTTTGAGCCAGTTGTCAGAAACTACCAGCCCATTAAACTGTCTTGCACTTCAATCTCTGAAAGAGTTGACCTGGTGGTACTGAGGCCTAACAAGAGCTGATTAGAATTCCCTATAAGATTGTTTTCTTGAGAGTTTCTTTATAGTTGGATTTGGATTATAAGTGCTCTCTGAAGCCATCTCTGGGTCCCACAATAGACTATGATGCAAATCTTCCTAAAATATGGATCCATAAAATCTCTTTCAAATAGTGGCATATGTCTGTTCCTGACTGCATATCACAGTAGGCTTTTAAAATAGAGAGACTTGCAGACTGCCTGCAACTCAGTGGTTTGTTTGTGGGGTTTTTTTGATTGCTTTTTTTCCAACTGCTGGGATCCAGTCTGGTTAATCACACTGGTATTGATGTGTGCCCACTGAGACTGAGATGAAAGTAGAACATGTGTGTCCATGTGCCAGGTGGGATTCACCTGCAGCATGCACTGTAGGGAGAGTTGCTTAAACGTAGTTGTGCTTTCCTTCATCCTTGGTGTCGTAAAGATAGGAGCAGCAACAAACCAATATTAATGATGAATCCTTTTCACTTAAGTTGAATCCTGAACCTTCAGCTGTGTCCTCCTGTCCCTATTATTAACTGACAGTGAATAAGCTTGATCCTTATCAAGCTGATACAGGCTTAGCAGCTTGGTCTCACTTTCCTTGACACCCTGGTATAGCAAGTGAGGAGACTGATGCTAGTTCTATTTCAATCCTATCTCATGGACTTAAAAGTCCTAGATTAGTTGTGCACTCTTAGTTAGAACTGGGTCAACTGTGTTCTGTGTATCCTTTTTCAATATTCCTTTGGGATGTGTTCTGTTGTGTGTTGGATGCAGCAGTGTCATCTTGTTGCAGAGCTGGCTTATGCTGATACACTGCCAGGCTCTACCTGCATTGATTTAGAAATGTATGTTCAGTAAAACTCAAGATCCTTGTTTTCAGCCCTCAGTGGACTGGAAGGGCTGAATGCGAAGTTGTACAACTTTTAGAATTGTCTGTTTTGTCAACATGAAAACTCGCCTAATTATATGTGTTTGGCAAAACACTGATCCTGTTCATCAGCTTTATGCAGTTCATGCTCAGCTTGTTTTCTCTCCCCCCACCCCCCCTCCTCATTCCTGCATGTATTCTAGGAAGACCTGGAAGATCTTATGATAAATTGGACCGAAAGCAAAAGCATTGGTGATATCATTCTTAAATATGTAAGTTCCTGTTTCTTTTTTTTTATACTTAGAACTATTATCTTGCCTTACAAACAGTCCACGTGTAGGAGCCAGCAAACACAAGCAAAGCACTACTGAGAAAAAAGTCCAACTTGTGTCATTGTATTTTTTGTTTAGACTTTTCAGTTGAGTCAGATGATATACTGAAACTTGACCTGGATTGTATGTGTCTGTCCACTGGTATGAGCAAACTACAAGTAGCTACAGTTCAAGAACTATAATTTGCAACACTACAGGCATGAGTTTTACTCAGAAATTAAAAGGCACTTCCTGTACCCTTAGCTATCTTCTGCCTCTGATCAATAGTAAAGAACTAGGAAAATAACATTTCACAGAAACTTCTCATCTTCTTCCTTCAAGACTTGAAATGTGCAAGTGGATAAGGACTCCTTGTTTTCCCATGTACAGAATGCATAGAACAGGAAAGCTAGGTGTGGGACTGCCGTGCATTTGAACATAAATATTCTGCTAGGTGTCTTGTGCTTTTGCTGACCGGATGATTTTGAGTTAAATTGTGCTTGTCATTCACAAGTTTTCAGTCTAAGGTATAGCTTCTGGTGGTTTGGTGATTGCAGTAACTGGAGAAAATACCTGTCTGAAACTTCCACAATTCTCACCAAAAGCCTCTTGCTAGGTGAGAATCTGCTTTCCAATTGAGCTGCTCAGCAGGATCTAAGATTGTCACATGTGTGCTTGATGCTTGTGAGAACAGGCTGCATTTAATCAGCAGCACTGAATCTTGGGCATCTGGCATGCAGAAATGTCTCAACTTGTTCTGTGAGCACGCATGGGTTTACAACACATTTTTTATTATTCTTTATTGAAATGTGCCTTTGAGCAGCTTTGTATGGCTCAGGGCATATGAACATATGTACAATGCTGCATAATATGTAAAGCAGAGCCCTAACAGTTGTTTCTTTCAGTCAAAAGACTTGTTGAAAACATACCCTCCATTTGTGAATTTCTTTGAAATGAGCAAAGAGACTATTACAAGATGTGAGAAGCAGAAGCCAAGGTTTCATGCCTTTCTGAAGGTAAGTGTCTGCAGAACCAAGTCTATGCATAGAACATGGGGACCAGTACCATGTACTGCTTAATGCAGTAGCTGGAAGAATGTGAAATTTTGAAAGCTTGGAGGAATATGAACGTGACACAGAAATAGGAAGGATTTGAACTTCAATCTCTCAAACCCCTCATAAAATTCTGTCATAAGAGGTCTGAATTCCTCCTCTGTTAAACAGCTTTCAAGGTAGTTTGATTATATGCATTTGTTGCTGGAAAAAGTTCCTCCCTGTACATGCCTTCTCTTTTCTGTAAAGATGACTAGAGCTGCTGCTTTCATGGGTTCTCTCTGTGTTTGCAAGACTTGTATTTCTGAAGTAGCTTTTAACTTGCTTTGGGCAGCTGTGAAGCTCCAGGGAGGTAGAACCTCTCAACATTCTTGTGACTAATGAATAGGAGCCCAGCAGAGGAGATCTAACAGGAAGATGATCTTCAAAGAAAGATGCTAGAGCTCTTCAGTTATGTGTGTACAGTTGATTAATAGTGCAGGGTAGATTTAACTCCTGTATCCAAAAGTCTCTCAATCAAGTAATCAAACTGACAGGTTTCAGCCTGTGTTTTCCGAGGGACTAGGAATTGCATCCCAAGTACTGACATCTAAAAGAGGGGGAACGAATAAGAGAAGAGGCTGTCCCCTGTCCCAC